TGCTGTTGTGTTCTTTTGTGTTTTTTCCTCCATTGTAGGTTGTCTTACCTGAGGGTTCAAAGGATATATCAGTTACCACTCCATTCGCTGTCAAGCAGTCTCACGAGGTAACATAATTCATTTCTGAAAAGGAAGGTCGTGTCGGATGGAAATGAGATTAACTATGTGGGGTTTGTATGTTTTGGATATTATTTGTATAAAAATTAAGAACTGACAATGATTATTAGATCTCTAGACTAATGATTTTTGTCCTCTCTTTAACTCATGTTTTAGATGCATTAGTTCTGATAGATACAAGTACGGGTTCAGTTGATATGTTTGTTGTTAGTAGGAACAAACTGTCATTTTTTTAAGAAAAAAATAATTGGCAGGTGGTTTCTTATTGTCTTTGATTTCTTGGTTTATAAATTTTCCGTTACTTATGAATGTATACTATTCTCAACTCGTGATGCTTCTTACATCAGCTCAAGTCTTATGTCATAACTATGTATATCTCATCGTGTTCAGCTAAGAGTGTGTTATTGATTTCAAGGGTCTAGTTCAACAAGTTTTTGTGATTTTTTTTTTCTCTTGCAGGTGAAGGTCGTCTTTTTTGTACTGGTAAGGTTAAAGTCAACACAATCCACAGTGTTGCAACAGAAATACTTAGCCAAGAGACCATAACCGGACTGATACTGGTTCTGCAAAACCAAGTAACCGATAAAGCCTTGAAAGCCATTGAGCTTTTCACTTTCAAGGTCGAGTTATTCCAGGTACATATATATATATATATATATATATATATATATATATATATATATATATATATATATATATATATATATATATTTCTTTTGTTTTTTTTTGTTGGGACAACTTCAAAGCTGTAACACCTAGTTTCCTTCTTGCTGTCTCCTTAAGATAACCGACTTGTTAGTCAATCTAACCAAGCATGTACTGGGCTTACGTTTTTAGGCTGATATAAGAGGCTGATGTCTAGCAATTCATTTCTTGAATGAACTGTGTGGGTTTTGTATGTTTTGGTTATTTGAAATCATTTGAGATGAAGGTTTTTAGGTTTTAATTTATGTTAAGAAAGATTGTATTGGATAATTATGAGATTAGATGCTCTGCTGTTTCTAAATGATTCATTTTGCGTGATATCAGGTGTACTTTAATTAAATTAGCTACAAGGTAGCTTAGGTATTGCAGTTTGGCAGGGTATCTTGTGGTTGTGATTGTGAATCAGGTTTTTAGTAGGATCTGTTTGTGATATTAAATCAGTCTTTATTGTGAACAACATGTTTGTTTGTTTATTGTTAGTAGAAGGGTTGTGCTTATTTGTTTCTAAGACGTTAGTGAAACTGAGGATGACTTTTTTCTTATAGAACAAGTGTTTGCATCTGATTTTACTCTCTCGACGACCCTTTCAGGCTCACTATCTCGAGACCCATGAAAAAAGATGTAAGTTTATATGTCTGATCTTGTTTGCATTAGTGATCTTGGTTTATATACTTGAGTTTATGTGTCTGATCTTGTTTGCATTAGTGATCTTAGTTTATATACTTGAGTTTATATGTCTGATCTTGTTTGCTTTAGACTTAGCCTCCTGAGGAAGCTAGGTTTTTTTCCAACTTTACGCCGAAGAGAGAAGACAAGGAAATAGGACGACATCAATGAATAAAGTAGGGAAACAGAACATCATAGAGGCGTTTGAAGAGAGGTTTAAGAAAGGATATCTCGATTGGCAGCCTTTCAAGAACAAATATGACACCAGTAGGAAGAAATACACCAAGTTTAGGAACTTGACTAAGAATAGGACAGGGCTTGGGTTTGATGACTTGGGAAGAATTGATATGTCTGATGATTGGTGGAGTGAACGCGAAAAGATCAGTATAAAATCATATATAATTTGATTTTAGTACTTTTAAGTTTGTCTAATCATTGTTGCTTATATAAGTGCTCGCTGATAATTGTTTTTCTAGTTTTAGTATTTTATCATACTGATAATTGTTTAACTTAATGAAGTTGTAAGACTGATGTAACGATCAAGTACAATAATGTATGATTCTTATTGTGCTGATAATTGTTGAACGATCAAATACAAGAAGTCTTACGTGGTGTTTATTCTTTTTAGAATGATTCTTGTATCAGTGACTTACTCACTTATGTATACTTTTTTTCTATTTATAGGAGTGTCCTGGGATTAGAAGATCTATATGGAAAGATGAATCTAATATGGATTTGTTTGAAGAGGAGTTTCGTGGTGTAATAGTAACTGGAGCAGAAGGATGGAGTGCTCAACATGGAGAAGCAAGTTTGAGTTCTAGAGTGGATGGAGATGATGGTAATGAAGCTGATTCTCAGCCAGCAGCAGACACTCCAGCATTGGAGACAGAAACTCAGCCAGCAGCTCAGAGAGAAACCTAGCGCCAAACTCAGCCAGCAGCTCAGACTCATTCTGGAAGTTCAAGAGCAAAAAGAAAGCGTAAAGAGAAAGATATGGTTGTAGAAGCTTGTGACAAACGGACTGCAGCTCTTGAGGTGAAAAATAGGATAGCGGAACAGATACTGGAGCATGAAGAGGCCTTTAGTGTTGAGAATGTGTTGCTGATACTTGGTGTGTTTGATATGGTTACTTATGGGAGATTGAGTCATATAACAGATCAAGGAGCAGGATGGCGTCATGTTCAACAACTAATGTATGATTCAGATCAACACTGTTATGACATTCTTCGAACGAATCAAACAACTTTCTAGGCTTTGTGTAAGATGCTAGCTGAGCGGTATGGATTACAAGAGTCTCGCAATGTTTACCTTGAAGAATTTGTTGCAATGTTTCTTGAGATGGTTGGTCAGGATAAGACGGTGCGGGATATAAGTCAAAGATATCAACGGTCAAATGATACGGTGAAAAGGAAGCTTGAGGATGTTTTGAGTGCTCTTCTGAAGTTTGCAAATGATACACTACAACCACAGGAAGGTGAATTTTCAAGAGTAAATCATGTTTTGAAGAATGATGATCGGTATTGGCCTTACTTCAGAGATTGTATTGGAGCACTTGATGGAACTCATGTCCCAGTTTTTCCTCCAAGTGAAAATGCAGAAGCATTCAGAGGCAGAAAGCAAGATCCTACAATGAATGTTCTTGCTATATGTAACTTTGACATGAAGTTCATATATGCATATCTTGGTGTACCTGGTAGAGCACATGATACAAAAGTGTTGACTCATTGTGCGAAGAATGAGGCTTCTTTCCCACATCCTTCTCTTGGAAAGTATTATCTAGTTGACTCCGAATATCCCACCAGGACATGATATCTTGGTCCGCATCCTAGTATGAGATATCATCTTGGTCAGTTTGCTAGAGGAGGACCACCGGTTAGTGCAAGAGAGTTTTTCAACCGAAAATCATTCAGGTTTGCGATCAGTGATTGAGAGGACATTTGGAGTATGGAAAGAAAAATGGAGGTGTTTGGATCGTAAACATCCAAAGTATGGTCTGGTCAAATGGATTAAGCTGGTAACAGCGACGATGGCACTACACAACTTCATACGTGATTCACATCGGGAAGATCATGATTTTGTACAATGGCAAAGTGTTGATAATGGAGAAAGAGAAGAAGCTGATGGTAATGGTGAAGAACAAGAAGAAGCTAGTACTTCATATGCGCCGACTCGTGATGGAGTGATGGAAGAAGTGCGTAAGAACATCACAAATGAATGTGGTAGAGGTCATTTACCGTACTAAATATTATTGTTAAAGACTTGGTTTAAGATTTTGTTTTATTTTTTTAAGACTTGATGTAGTATTTAGTTTTTGTTTTGTGTTAAATACTTTGATATATTATTTTTGGTTTAAGACTTTGTGGTTTAAGACTTTGTGGTTTAAGACTTTGTTTTATTTATAATATTTATAATAAAAATATTGTTAAATTAGTATATTTGACTAAAAAATTATTACTAATTAAATATAATATTTTGGTGGATGTAAAATATATTTAAACTGCATTTTATTTAATTAAAATAAAATCTGACAAATTTAAACTATCTTTTATTTATTTAAACACAATTTTACAAAATTTTAAAATTAAAATATGAATTAAATAAAAATAATCTCTACGTCTGCGGTTGCGAAACGAACAACATAAATAATGTTTTTGCGTCTTCGTCATGCGTCTATGAAATGAACACAACTCTACATCTGTGTCTGCAAAACGAACAACAACCAAATGAACAGACGCATACTCAGCCGCAGCCGCAGAAACCTGCGTCAACGAAACGAACATGACTACTAAGAAAAATGGAAATACATTTTAGGATGACCATTTTAGAGTTTGGACACTTCTGGTTTGGATTCATAACCATTGCATCAAATAGTTCAAACATAAAAAACCATTGCATCAAATCCACAAAAATCCATCGTACTTCTCTCATGAGATTTCAAAATGCTGAATCTAAAGTAAAGACGAGAAAATGATATTAAACAGCTAGCATGCAATGGAATCAAAAGGGTAGTAGTTAGAGAAGATGACACATATTATAAATGAAACCATTATTGCATATGAGATGAAGACACGAGTAGAATTAAAAGAGACAAAGACACATTCAAGTGTTTTAACTACAGAACAAAAACTTGTTAATACTAGAAAACAAAGTTTTCGAGTGGACTGGGTCTCACTTATGGACTCCCCTGACACAGATCGGTCACAGTTTCACTTATTCGTAGAGAAAACACTATTATTTGATATACAGAGGAAGAGAAGGAACACATTTAAGTATTCACTGTTACTCTTTTGACCCTTTTCATTTACAATACTATTCATCAATCTAACATTAGTTCCAGTTATCTCTGCCTTGTTTCTTTTCATATATACCCAAGTTTATTTATTTTAAAAATTCAAACTCATCATTACTAGTCAGTTGAAACTTACCATTAATTAGAGGTTCATTATCAATAAAAACCCAATCTAGACATCTTACATGTTACACAGCAATTGAGAATAGACTCAAGGCGATGACTAAAGAAGCCACAAATGATTAAAAGGTTTTTCTTTTCAGTAAAACATAGGTCTCTGTAGCTACATGAAGCTACATGTCCTCTGATGCTAAAAGGTGAAGATAAATTACTTGGTAACAATACATGCGACGTAATTCAGATTGGAAAAGGCGTCTTTTCGGATGTATATAATATTTCAATGTTTTAAGTTCTACCGTCGACATCGAATCCAGCACCTGTCCAACCTCCTCTGCCTTTGCTGTTCGTGATTCCAATTCCTCTTCCCCTTCCTTGAAACTGTGGTTTCTTTCTCGCTTTTGATTCTCCTTCAGCTGTTGATGGTCTCTGTCCCTGTTCTTTACCTCCCTCTTCCTTCCCTTCTTTTTCTTTCCGGGTAAGTCTGATTAGCATTGGCTGCTGCGAGTGAGCTGTCTACTACAGATTTAGTCTCCGGTTCATGGACCTAGTTATGAAACATAGTCAACAATATTGAACATCTTTCATGCATCTTGTTATCACCGAGCATATAGAACTGATATTCATGTACCATTGTGAAGTATTAGCCATGGTTAGCAACATACTCATGCAAGAATTGTCCAGTTCCTCTATTCTAAGAATAAGTCTCATTATGAGAAACAAATGGAATATAAACTAGAAAATAGAGATTGCTTACTTGCTGAACAGAAGTAGATGATCTATTCGGATTCAGTGCTTCTAGTCTTCTTTTCAGTTCCTCAAGTCTGGAATACTGCGTATTGATGCTTTCTTGCACCTATGATTACAAGATTTTTTTTTAAAAAAAAAGAGTGTGATTCGAGTGTCTTTCAACGGGGAAAAGTAATCCCTCCTTGACAACTTTTGAAGCTGCTTCAGATGCCTTTAAGAAGACAAATAACTTATATATAAGACGTTCACACATATAAGAAGAGATGAATTGAGATTAATCAGTTCCATGGTAGGGGGGCTAAACAATCTCAAGAACAGTTGAATGCCTACAGGTCACAACACCGAGATGAGGTAGTAAAAAACCAACACCATATTAGCAAACCATTAATTTAGTCAGTGGTTTTGGGGTGTTAAATATGATTTCTGAGGCCTATGATAACTGAAATATCAATTCACATTACTTAATTTTGCTACTTGAATCATAGCTACAAGCCAAAGAGGCAACATAAAAGCTCTAAGCCACCTAAACTAACTCTATGTCTATGCTAAGTTAAAACGTTGAGAAACATAAATGAAAGAGAGAGAGAGAGAGAAACCTTTCTGGCTTCATCTTCTTTCAACTTTGCTAGCATGGATCTTCTCAGTACATTTTCTTTCTCAAGTGTTCCAGTACTTAAAGATTTTCAACAAAAGAAGAGAGGTAAATGAATGAACCGTTGCTTGAGTCAAAAGAGAGACTTGCTTTACCAGCTTTCTTAGGACCAGCAGTGAGTTTCCATTTCCATGGTGACTGGTTACCAAATTCCCTTTCGACATCCCTTAATTTTTTGAATAGTTGTCCTCAATGTATCTACAACACACAGTGACATCAAAGAAAGCTCACTAAAAGCAACCTTCAGCATCGATGTTCAAGTCTAGTAATAGAGATTCCAGTATTCTCTAAGAGGCCGAGGATCATTCTCTACCTTGAGCAACTTAAAAACACTACACAAGGAGAAGGATTTAACATTGATAGAGATAAGTATTGGATCTCTTTTACATCCAATAGACTGCGTGTCATTCTCAGCGTAAAAGGGAAGAAGCAGTTTTAAAACCAAAACATCCTCGAAACAAAAACCGGCAAGCAGTTTACAACCAGAATATCCTCAGCAGGAGATGAACACACTAAAAGAAAGAAAAAAAAACAGAGTTCCTACAAATTGGGAAAAAGAAAAAAAAACACAGCATTCTTGATTCCCTCAAAAGAGAGTTTTGAGCATTTTTAGGAACGAGAAGATTTGATAAGGTCTTGAACAGCATCCATGGTGGGCATTGCTGGAATCGCTCCTCTCTCTGTCACTGTGATGGCTCCACAAGCGTTAGCGAACAGAAGTGCCTCTCTTAGCTTCTTCTCATCCTGCAAAATTTCACAATATGTACCTTTAGTTTAAAGAAAGCCAGAGAAGGTAATGGAAGAAAGATGAAGGAGATAAGTAAAAGTACAGTGAGAAGAGTGAGATCAGAAGCTAAGCTGTTCAATAGACCGCTCACGAATGCATCTCCTGCACCGGTTGTGTCAACCGCTTTCACTTTTACTCCACCAACTCTACCTTTAAACTCCTACAAAAATAACCAAAATAAGTAACCTGCTAATATATATACAGACTAAGTGAATGTAAAAAACAGACAAGCAAACCTTAGTGTAGTATCTACACCCATTAGGTCCTTCTGACACAACAAGAAGCTTCAGATTTGGATGAAAGAGCTTTTTCAACACAACTTCATCACTATAAGGATCATCGCCACCAGTCAAGAATGTAATCTCGTCCTCACTGATCTGAAAACTCTCAGACAAGACTTTGAGTTTAAGTAAACTTGGGAGTGCAAAAAAAGATCATCATAATACCTTTATAACATCAGCTAGTTCCCAGATACTCATGATCTCTTTCCTCGCAGCTTCCTCTGATGGCCACAATGGTAACCTCAAGTTCGGGTCATATGACAAGAGACTCCCCGCGGCTTTAGCGATTTTCATAGCTGCAAGATGAGTGGAGCGGCAAGGTTCCTTGATCAAACTGATAGATCCGTAGTGAAAGATCTTGGCCTGTATGAAAGCCACTGGACTTATTAGTCTCTCATTTGTACAAATGGATCATCAAAAGAGAGAGAGAGAGAGAGACAAAATCTTTACCTTTTGGATTAAGTTTTTGTCAAGCTCAGCTTCGGAAAGAAGCATATCAGCACTCGGGTGTCTGAAGAACAGAAACTCCCGCTCTCCATCAGCTCTTAACGTGACAAAGGCGAGAGCGGTACGTGCTTTGTGGTCGAATCTCATCCCAGAGTTATCCACGTTGTTGAGCCTTAGAATCTCAGCTAACATTTTCCCAAACTCATCATCACCAACCTAGATTGAAAACGAAGGCTGGAGTGTAAACAACAAGAGTCCTTCAGTCATCAAAGTGTAAGAGAGTCAGACCTTTCCAATGAAAGCAGAGGAGCCACCGAGTCTAGAGACACCAACAGCTACATTAGCAGGAGCACCTCCTGGAGCTTTCTTGAAAGCTGGTGCTTCAGCGAGAGAAACACCTCCCACCGTTGGCACGAAATCGATCAACATTTCACCAAAACAGACCACGAGAGTCTCTGAACGTCCTGTGTCGATCTTTAGATTCTTGAGATGGCCTGTTATCAGAAAATAAAGCATAATTCAAATTCCTCTAGATCAAACGAAACACAACAAAACATAAAAAAAAAAAATGAAAGATGAAAGACTTGTCGTTTTTATCCCTATAGAACAAGGCAAGATTACAGAAACAGAACCCAAGAACAGAGATCTATAGAAGCAAAAACCCAAGAATAGATATCACCAAAGATCAAAGCTTTAAAGAGAAACAGTCAAACCCAAACCCGATTCAAATCAAGAACAGATCATTCGACGGCGTCAGATCAAGAACAGAAGAAGAGAGAAGCCGTGCATGAACAAAAAGATCTCAAACGTACCTGAGATGGCGTTATCACCCATTTCTTTCGATCCAAAAGACAGAGAGGGAAACAAAGGGATCTACGAAGAAAACAGAGAGAGAGAGAGAGAGGAGAAGATTTGAAAATTCGTTTGCTTTTTTTTCTTTTGGTAATGGTTAGTAGAGAACTAGATATGAAGAGGGGATCGAAGTTGGTTATGTATTAGTATATAATGACGTCACCACATTTGTGAATATTCCTGTCTAATTCCAAAAGAAAAACAAGCACTATGCAGCTCGTATGAGTGTGAAAAATAATATGAACCGACAAAAATATATTATAGAAGGTGAAAATAAAAAACGAAAATGGAGGACAATAGGACATAAATGTTAAATCTTTCCCGACGTGTTCTCCAAGTGAAACTATTCTTAATAGCTAGCTGAATGCTTCCATTAGCAGCTTTTATTGATTTGAATCGTTATTAATATGATTTTATTATATAGTATCGATAATTATGTTTACTGCAGAGGAGAAAAATTGCTGTTTATGTGGCATGAAACAAACATGTTTTGGGTGTTTTCTATTTTCCCGCGAACTCCGATCAGAAAGGAGTAATCCTCGATCTTTGAATGAGATATACAAACTTTACGTTCCTGATTTCTCTTTCTAGTTGTTGTTGTCATGTCTTTTGTGTTAATTGGG